AAATCACCCTGATAGACCACAAATAAGATACCCGCCACTCGAACCATTGCGATTGCAAAGGCCACTCCTCGCCGACCGTAAAAAATTATCTTCCCGGCAGACTGGCAAAAACAGCACAGCAGCGGAACCGTAAGTGCGCAGTGTTTCGCTTACACCTCCCTTTTTTCTATTCCGCATCTTTATCTCTCCACGACGACGGCGACGGTCGCGAAGGGTTCTCTCTCCTCCTTTATCCTTTGGGCGCACCTCTTCGCTGGTATATATACGTATACGGCCCTTCTCGTCCAAGTGGAGCGATAAAACGCTACCGTCGCCTGGCCACTGCTGTTATACTACGTCCTTCGCTCTGCACGTCCTGACAAATCCAGAGTTATACGTCCGTATATATACCCGAGCATCAGATCCAGATTCACGAGCGGCTAGAGGCTCCTTGCCTATTATACGTCACGCGATTTATGGACCGAGTTTTATTGGCAGATTGAAAAAAATAAATAAAAAAATAAACGAAACGACAAAGACGCAGATCTGTGTATGCTATTTGCCTCCCTTTTTTATGGTATTCCCTTTTTCCCTGGCTTTGAACGATGACTAGGATTTTTTTTTCATTTTCGTGGTGAGCTTATGAGGGAAATGTGTATTGCCGTGTGAGGTTTATGGGTGATTTCGTATATATAGAGGACAGACCTAATGAACATTGCGAAGATCGTAGATCCGGCCAATTATAAATTAATGGCGCGTGAAGAGATTGTAAAAGGAGACACTGGTCTTCGGATTAGTGTCACCGGAAAATTATAAGGACCATCTTATAATCTTTTAGGGCGGTAAAATAAGACTGTCTTCTTTAATTTGGAGACTAAATTTTCAGAAAACATTTATTATATTTTATAGATTTATCAAAACAATCGTGAAAATTGTTATAAATTTTATTGTTTTGCAATAAACGTGTAATTTAAATAAAATATTAAATGTATACATAAAACTCTTTCATTTAATTTTATTTGAGCTTTATGCAATATATTGTACTGGGACGTATATAAAAAAAACTCATTATATGTATTTATATCAACGAAAATTATTTCGGTTTTGTTACATACATCTTCGCATTGCAGTACATATGTATTGATTTTTGCATTTACTTTATTTAATATACCATTTCATTTTCTTTCTGCAACATGAGACGGTACATTAATACAATACACTTTGAATTATACAAGTTTTTTTCCAAGGTCTGTGTAACAAAACCGAAATAATTTTCGTTGATCCATGTACAATTACATTAGTATAGTATACTTTCAATAATAAATAGATTTGGTTGTCAAGATAAATATCACTACTACGAAATAATTTTCGTTCGTCGATATTGGATGTTTACTCTTGTTTACTTATCGTACCAGTGAGTCGAAAGTGACCGTAGAAACATGTTGCTTTTTCACAAACTCTTTATTTTCGTTGTTGCATCTCTACAAACCGCAAAGTGTACAATCCAGCAAAATCAGCTGGAAGCACTAGCCCAATCCATAGCATCAAATTTAACATTCAATCGCGTAGTGGTTCTCACGGACAGTCGGAATGATTTTCAGCTGCAAACGGATATTCTTTATTTTCTGTACAACAAAAGAGTTTCCGTTGTCACATTTGATATTTCGGACTCGCAAAATCAGTCGCTATGTTTGTCGGAGTTTACACACCCCCGAAAAGTGCTGCTCTACCTCATATTATGCAAAGAGTCAAACGACAACAATGACAGTGACACACGACTGCAGCGTTTTGTCAATCATATTGTCGACATTGCACCTGTAACGCCGCGACCACAGTGTTTAGTGTTATACAAATCTGTAGAGAAATCCACCAGTGCTATGGAAAACATCTTGAGGTTCGCCTGGGAGCAAAATTTTCTTGATTTTTCTGTGATGGAAGTACTCCAGAACACAAACGTGAAACGTACATTTACTTCTCTGGCGAATCCATCGAGTGTATTTATTAATTCTTTTGATCCATTCCTAAATGCGTTTCGTAGGGATGAATTTAATTGCAAAACAGTTATTTTTCCTAGTAAGTGCCATAACGTTCAAAAATACCCACTCAAAATGGAAACGTATCACTACATTCCTAACAATGATTCGCTCTTTAAAACTGATGATCCTGGAAGTATCGATTTGGATGGTAAAAATAAAGTATCGATTAATTCTGTACGATTAAAATATCCTATGATTTTCATAGCAATAGAAAAAATGAATTTTTCTTATAAGTTTGAAACTTTCAAGATTGGTAATGAGTCATTTTCGACATTTTTAAATTATTCCGGGAAAAAGTTGGAAAAAAGAGAATCGAATATAATTCTAGCGTATACTACTTCACATTTTTTACAAAAAATTTTTAAGTTTACAACACACATGATGTATCCATTTTTTGAATTCGATAGGGTTGCTGCATTAGTACCAGTTGTACATCGACGAAAATTTGATGTACCGTTAAAGACAATAATTTACTTACTGACTGCATTAGCTACTATAGGATTTTTTATAGCAGCTGTTAATTATTTTAGCCCCAGTGAGAAAAAATTTGAAATATATTATGCTATTACAATTTTATTTGGAAAATCTGTTAACACAAATCGTAAGAGAATGTTTGATAAAATCATGATTGTGACATTAATTTTAGGATCTTATTACTTTTCGTTGGGGTTTTATTCAACCTTTTTGAAAACCATACTCAACAAAGAAGAAATGAACTATGACACAATTAAGGAGCTGCGCGACTCTGGAATTAAGTTTTTCTCGACGTATCCTGACGACAGACTTATTGAAACCTCGAATGTAAACGCATCCGGAAAAACATTACAAATAAATCATGTTAAAGGATACAAAACATGTATTGAGAATATATTGAAGAATTTTAGTTCTGGTTGTTTGTTAGCAAAATCATACTCTGAGCCTATGGCCGAAACTTACGCGTATTTGAATGGAAAGCGAGTCATGAAGGTAGCTAAACCGACATTTATGCATTTGCAACTCGCTTTTCTCGTAGAAAAAGGATTTCCATTCTCTGAGACAATGGAAAAAAATTTTCGTGCTATTTTTGAGTCTGGTATTTTAGAATCATATTGGCTGAAAAAATTAACGACGAAAATTTTTATAAATCGGTACGAAGATGATACATACAAAAACTTTTTTTTATCACGACTTCTTATATTGTTGTCTGTTGGCACCTTAATATCAATTATTGCTTTTATCGTGGAAGTGTTTGTACTGTAATCCGAAGTCACTTTTTGAAAAGTAAGATAAATTAAATACATACCCTGTCTACTAAATTTTGTAACCTATAATTATTTCCGTCTGCTTTATTTATGTAAAAATTGCGTTTGTTTTTTTTTTGATGTTGTGTATCAATAAAAAATGTAATATAAAAATAAAGTATGTGTTTGATTGAATTGCATCGAAATCTTTACACCCATCTCATATTATGTACCACATATATTCTGTAAATACGTAAGAAAGCAAAATTACCATTCAATTTATATACCAGAACTGTTAAACTATATATTTATCCACGATATATCAGAAAAGACCTCCGAACAGCTGCTAGTGATTCGAATACATCTGATCTAATTTCTGGATGTATACAATCAGAAAATTAATTGTCGCACAAAGCTATTTCCCATCCAAAGCACAGAAAAACTCGGCGTTTCTCTGGATTTGTAAAAAGTTTATAGGGGAGGGACGTGCTATAAAACGCATCATCTCTAACAACTTTTGGCCTAAACTTTCACTACTTACGTAAAGACACACACACATGCTCTGGTCGCGTGGACTCACCAGAATTAAGATCTTATCCGTTGACCACATCAGCATTTAGATTTAACCAAGCCTGAACCGCTCGGCCACCCTCGTAAAATCGCCATGAGCCTTTATGCTATACACGGCCCAGAGTGACTTGCATTTATTATTCCGCCTTCATCGTGCCCACACGAAATTCATGTTGACCGTCATCTGCACTAGGTAGGTGTAAAAGAATCTACTGAAAGGCGGTGAAAAAAAAAAATAATAAATAAATGACCTTCAATTTATCGTGTGAATACAGCAGGAATGGGCTAATGCTCACAAGATTCCTTGGGAAGGAGAAGGAAAAAAAGGTACTATTGGCTCAGGATTAATGGAGCTACTGTACGCGTCTAGTCATGGCTTTTTGAGTTTTGCTTTTTTTTTCCCCCTCAAGATAAAATACGAGAGATGCAGAGAGTAAATTCTATAAGTGAAAGAACTTTTGAGAAAAAATCTGGAGCAAGTCTCGATGATTTTATTGCAAAATTCACAAAGCTTTTGAAAAACGATATCACCGAATTTCTTCTAAAAAAATTTCATTTTTTGATCCTTCGAACTTTTTCTGCTCAACAGAGAGAAAAAGAAGAAGAAAAAAAAGTTCAGAGTAAAAGTCGAAATCCTGTATTTTATTTTTCCCACTACTGGCTGGAAAAGATACGAGGAAAGTTGATTAAGATTAGTATCGCAACTTACAACCTTAAATTTTTTTGCGATTCCGAGTAACTTAAAAAATAACCTTGCTTTGGCCTATTTCAATATAATTATTGCAATTAGAAAGTATTTTTTTACGTCAGAAAAGTAAGAGGATTAAAATAATTTTGATGTTAAGAAAAAAAAGCTCATAGAAAAACCTTAAAGACTAAAAATTAAGTTGATATGGAGAGTTTTTAGAAAGTAAATCATTTAAACGAAAATTAAATTATACGAAATACTGAGGGATGTTTTTGAAGATTTTTCAATTAACTTTTCGAGAAAACTCCATTACAGTGCTCAACTCTATCTCGTGACGATAAATGTTCTCGTACGGCCTAGAAAGTTGAAAGATGAATGGATTCTCAGGAAAAGTAACGATTAGATTTTCCATTCCCTACCCTGGAACGGTCGATTTTTTATATGGAATGGAAGAAAGAGGAAAAAAAGTAAAACCCATCATTCACACGTAATTTTCTCTCTTTCCAGATTTCAACCAGAGCGGGTCGATCGACATAAAAGATTTCGATTTGGCGGTACAGGTGAGTCTCGCTTTCCACAATATGCGGCATCAAACTGCGGCACAAGCGGTGAATAATCAAATAAAATGTTTTCCCCCCCTTGTTCGTACTCGTCAGAAAATCTGCGAAGAGAGAGGCTGGAGTGACGGCAACCCAAGATATACGCACGTCAAGGAGACGATGAACAAAGTCTGGAATGGACTTCAGCAGGGCGCTGATGCTGATAACGACGGCCAGGTGTGTTTTAAAAATTTTTTTCGACCTGCTATTATTAATGCTTGTATTGATCGATTCGTTGGGTCAACGTAGTTCTAAACAAAGATAAATATTGTACTCCGAAACCGGTTGTTGAAAAGTCATTTTTATGTTGATGAAAAATAACTTCAGACGACATTTCTCATTACATAGTCAGTGTGCTCACCAAATGCATAGTTTAGGACTTTTTTTTCCAATTAGTTTGCTTGTGAAACTAAAATATCAGTAAACTCACCAGTCATACATTTTTTCTCATTACTTATATGAAAACGTATCTGTGTAAGAACAATCAAGTGTTACTCTTATAACGTGCTGGGTACACACTTTGATATTTAACTTGATATAAAAGTTCCCTTACTTTCTGAATCATAACGGCAAACTTCCAGTTTTACCCATTACTGTAGATCGTGTATGATTCACGAAGTTCAACGTAGACGCCAGAGTACCTAATTTTATGAAAATTTCCCTTACATGAATTCTCCATTCGTGCAAAAACAAATATTTCCGTATTATATTTTCATAAAGACGATATCATTCTGGCAAAGAAATGAGACATTTTCGACGCGGCACATCAAACCAAACATATTGGGCCCCATCCAATCCCATCTCAAAACCACCACAGTCCTTGGTCATCGCAAAAAGCGTTCGGGCGTAAATTCGCACCTTCGCAAGCGTAGATCGCGTGTTTTCACTGGAAACGACATTCGTTACGGCAAATAACGCCGAAGCGAATCCAGTTCAAAGGCCATCAAACAGGGTACGTCTCGAGTCTTGAAGAGACACGTCCGTCGCGAAGAGCTCTCGCGCTCCCTTATTTACATGAGTCATTTGTCTGGAAGCTTCGAGTCAGTCGAGTGGTTGAGTGCTCCACATTGCCGTCGTATTGATGTTTATACGCAAAAGAGAGGACCACGCGAGAACGAAGCACTGACGTAGTTTTTTTTTCCTTTTTTTTCAATTCTTATTTATTTTTGCACAGAAGCGTTAAATCGTGTAAAATAATGGATGGCGATGATGATGATTGAGAGTTGGATTATGCCCTGCAGATCACCCGAGAGGAATGGTACTCGATGTGGGAGGAGTACGTCAAGAGCCCGGACAACGCGGTCGAGTGGCAGCAGACGTACATGAATCTCGTGTTCGACATCGAGGACGTTTCTGGTGAGTTTTTGCTCTACGACAATATTATCGCTATATCCTGTTCACATATCGATTCCCACCTCGTATGGGGTATCTGGAGGTACATTATTACATTTTTCACTTGCATTGAACCATCAACTGATCAATCAAAGATTTTTTTTTAACGATTCTAGAATTATCAAAAGTCTATGAACCTTTTTTAATTTAGATACCATTTAATTATTTTTGAAAAATTGTATTTGGAAGCTCCGCAATAACTGGACCAACCACAATAATTCCTCCAATTACTCTTACTATGACGATCGGGTTTGATGTGATTCTGAAAAAAATAATCGATTTTTAATGATACATCGTAATCCGTTCAGTTTATTTTATATTACTTCATCGAAGCTTTAAAATTACAACGAAGTATTATTTAATCGAAGTAGATGGATACGCTCCGGGAGATGATTATTTAATCATCGCATTGGAAACTATAATTATGATCCGCTGATTACGACTATTTCAGTTTGTCATCAGGTCTGGTAATACAATTCACGTTAGAACAAGCCTAAAGGTTTTTTTTTATTGTATGAATATGATTTAATAAATATAGAGAAGGAAATCAAAAAAGTAAAATGAAACATCGTCGAACGGTCCTAAATAAATACCCAAAGCGCTAGAGTAGATTTTACATGAATGACTTTCAATTAAACATCTAATACCTCTTTACTCTTCACTTTTGAATATTCAGCTGTAATAAACATGTAAATCGGCTTAGTTATATTTTGAAATACGTTTTCAGCTTTTGAATAAGTAGCTGAGAGTATATTAAAAGAAAATAATGATCGTTAAAATGGAATTATTGTTATTACTTGACTTAAAGTACTATTCATTACGAATAAATTCGAATTTTTATTTTTTTGCCAGGTACAGTAAAAAAAAAAAAACTTTTACTTTGAGGAAAAATAAAACTTGTAACGTGGTTATATTTTTCTCGAAAAATTAAGATCGCTATTCATTGATATATTTTGATATTTCAGTTTATCAAGCTAATGAACTCAGTGTATTATTTATCATTAAAAGCGTAGGTATTATTATTAAATTCTGCTTACTCGTAGCGCAAAGTGCGCCGTAATTAATTGAAAATGAAAAACCGATATTCACGCTCGTGCTTATGCTCGTATTTGCTTTAATGCACGCGTATCCAATTGCAAACGTATCGCCTCTAAATTTGCTGACATTTAGTCCTCGAATTGAAATACTATTAAAAAAAAAAATAAATAAAAAGTTTAAATATTGAGTATCAAATGACAAATAATATTCATGTAGTGTTTGGCTTTCATTCAGTAATATCTATGTACGGAAACAACGAACGTCAAACACAAATTTCAACGTAAAACATTGAAAATAAGGCACAAATTTTGGACTCCCTTTGTAACCTGAAACGACAAACGTGCGACCGAGAGTAACGCAATTCTCGTATAACGTAATCCCGGTAGACTAGCAAAACTATAATCCAAATTTCGTAGCTCGCAAACACCGACATTGCCTCAACTTTTGATCCCCGTGGATTACACTAGATCCCGGGAAGTATTAGACCGGGGTAGGGCTAGCGATCGATATTCTTGCAATGTTTGTGTGAAACAAACGATTTGTGCTCCCACAGGTGACGGCTCGATCGACGAGGCAGAGTTCAGCCAGGTGTGCAAAACCTATGGCGTCGAGGAGACCGAGTCGAAGGATGCTTTCAAGAAGCTCCAAGTTGTAAGTTTACGTGCACCCTATACATATACTCTACATTCTGTTCGCTGAGCTTTCGATGATTAATGGAGCCCAGTGCAGGAGCGCTTCCACTGAAAATCATTAGTTCAAACATGTTTTTTATTTAAACTCTTTTTTTACGGGTTTTACACTGATTTTTCTTAGCCAACGGTGTACATTATGTGTTCGACAAGTTAGTAAAAATACGATTCGTAACTAATAAATAAAATCGTACAACTATCGATATTATTACGTCCTTCGTTTATGAGCTTTAGAGAATAAATTATAATGGAAAAGTCCTGTGAGTTGAAAAAAAAGATATGGTTCGTAGTTTTTTTCGTAATCATTTTTACAAAGGTGAAGAAACATTTTTTTTTTAAACTACGTGCACACTGTTAACTTTATTTTTTTAATAAACAGAAGATAGTTTGTTTGTGAAACCACTCGTAGACGTAGATCCTAGCGATGGTCATAAATAGACCCCTCTCGCTCGAGTTTCGAACAATCGTTGGAAGAAGCATTCCACCTGAAGACCTCTCGGTCTTTCCGTGGACGCTACGCCGCTTAAACTTTGTCGTACAGCCGTACCGTCTCTCAAGAGCTGATCGATTGTTCGTCACTCGGTGCTGTGTTTCCTTCCGATTGTTGTGTAAAGTTGGGACCTTAATGATTCTCGTATCGCGCGATAGCTTTGTCGAAGTTGTCGTTTGATCGAAGATACTTGGAAAAATCTCATTCATCACTCTCATCTCTGATCTGCGTATTTTCCAGGGAGACGAGATAACGCGCCCGAAATTCGAAAAGCTCTGGCAGCAGTTCTTTTCGTCGGACGACCCAAGCACGCCCGGCAACTTCGTCTTCGGGAAGACGTCCTACTAAGAGCCACTGGACCCTTACCAAAGTGATAACACACACTCACACATGAGATCATCGCGTAATGATTGAAGATGAAAAAAATTGTAAAATTACCATTAAAAAAAAAANTTTAAATAAAAATTAAACACTCTGTTTTTGGGTGATTCAAAGTATGTTTCCTGATCACACTATATGATAAAATACATCACGACTCATCAAAAATAAATGTCGAGTGAAATACATTGGATGTTCATTCGAAGAATAACAGATCATTAATATTCGATTGTACTATAAAAACTTTTGAAACAAACAAGTAAACTGCCAAATTTAGCCCAGGTGTAAACTGACGGAATTTCACGCGAAATTTAAATAATATTTCAAACCTTCATTTTTATCGCAGAAGTAAATTGCTCGTTTACATTGCTCGACTTCATAATTTTATTGCATTATCGAGATTCCATTTAAAATATTTCTAAAATAAATCTCGATTTCTTTTGTTTCAAATCTATGATTACTATAATACAAATATCAAAAGAAGAAATTGATACCATCCAAGTAATCAATCGAGAAATTTTTCTTGTGAATGCAATTGGTAAGATATTAATGTACAAACTTTGAAATTAATATATTTTGGATGTAAACGAATTTAAATGAAACAAGTCTCAGTATATATTGCAAAAGTTGTTGTTGAGAGTTGTATTACAAATGTCACTGATTTAATAAAATAATTAAACGAAAATTTATTAATAACTTTTAAATTCGTATTATTATTCTATTACTGTTTTACGCATTTTGCCGGCTTCTTCTGGACAGAGGGGCCAACATCAGGGCTAACTCATCAGGTGAAATCGCAATTAAATTAAAAAAAAAACATTTCAGGTCTGGGCCATGGTTTTTCGTAGCTCAACTTTTCTGTGTGGCTATGGATACGCATTCATCGCAAAGAACAGGATCTGGACCATATCAGAGACAGACTTTCTCTCTCTCTCTCTCTCTCTCTCTCTCTCTCTCTTTCTATTAAACGTAATTGTGACACCTACGTATACAAAATACAGAATCGTCTACAATTTACTCATTTTCAACCCGCATGGTATAATCACGTCCTAAGGGATGAAGAAAAAATAGCGAGCGTAGGCGTTCCCATTATAACATAAAGCAATGAAAAACTTGCACAGTTAACTAAATCGCTACGTAACAAATTCTGATTTCCAATTCCTGCTACATCTTGACTCACTGAATTTTTTAATACAAAATGTTTTGCAAATTGTCTTTTCAAGCCTTGCCTAATCCATATATTCACACTTAAAGAATGACAACTATTTAAACTTACACATCTTTGTGAATTGAAGGAATTAACTATTTTTTAATTGAGTATTTACTTCAAAATTTCATAGCTGACTAAAAGACTTCATTACTACTTGTCAATTACAAATATCTAGGTCTACCTAGATTAAAGTTTGCAATATTTTTTATTATCAAGTATATCGGTGGTATTATTAATGAAAACTATATGAATCTCTGTAAAGTGTTAAAAGGATTGTAAACGAACGATTGAACAGTGAAGTTGGGTATTGGGTTAGTATCACGGAAAAAAATTTTATAGGCTGGCTCAGCCAAACCAAATTTTTTAGTAGATGATACAATAATTGGAATATGATAACCAAACAAACAGTTTTCATAACTAAACTATTTTCAATCAAATTTTTTAGTCAAGCGAAATATATGTTTTTTTCCGTGATTGGCGCGCTAGAGTTGGGTTTCGTTGGATGTTCTCGACTGGCTTTCCGATACGTCGATCACTGCCCAGACACACCCTTGTACCCGTGCTGAGATACCGCAGCCACTGGATTCGGTCCTCATCTGTAAATTTAACTCTAGTTGTTGTAAAATCAGCAGAAAATAACAAGAAGAACGAATGGAAAAATATAAATTTGGGGATTTGGATTGTTTGGAGCAAGTGATTTGACGAGTAAAAAAATCATCTTTCCTATCTTAGCGAAAAAAATCGAGGGTATACAAAAACTTTTCAAAGTCTAATGTAAAAAAATGTCGATCTCTTAACGCCTGTAAAATTTCTGTTGAAAATTGAAAATGATCAAATCAGTATATCGGCATTGAGAGATCCAAATCTTCTGCAGTAAATGGTTTTCAATATATTCTTTATTGTTACATCTTTCAGAATTTAATAATGTCCTATGCTGTTCATTTATGTATAAAAGGACTTTAGTTCTGTTAAAACGTTTAGTTGTTCGACGAACGTAAAACGCTTTCGGTTAAATTTCAATCAATCGTACACGCTTCTTTACTATTTTTGCCGGCTTGATGGTAAATGTTTATGTCATATCGCTGTTATCACACAACTTATGATTGTAAACGTTAAACGTGCAAAAAAATTATAAAATAAGCAATAAAAAATGGAAAAATTAATGAAAAATTGAAAGTTTGTTGATATCATTTTTGAAAAATACTCATCCCATGCTATGAAAATATACTGTGTATTAATTTAACGTGTGGAATAATTTGTCAGAGTAAATAAGAAATTGATGTTTGTCTGGAATTGCTCAAAAAAGTTGAACAAAAGTTATTGAATTGTTTTTTACTTTTTTCTCCTGAACTATGATGAGTCGGTACATTTTAAAGCTTAACATAAAAGTTAACATTTGAAATTGCTATGTGATTTTTTACGTGTTAACTAAATTAACTATTCTATTTAGGAAAATCTTGAAATTATTTAAATTATTGTATGTCAATAATGACTAACTGTTTTGTATACCATGTAAAATACAGAAAAAACGTTTATTCCCTTACCGTAAGTCGATAAATGACTTGATGCTCGTATGACTTTCCTTTAGTAGATATGGTCGTAGTTTGTAAGACCACAATCACCTCAGGGTAATATTATGAGATTCGTCAATAGGGTTCTGTGTTCCTACCACATATTTGTTCTTAAGTAATTGAACAATATACTATGATTATTTTGATTCGATACATTTACCATATTTTTTTTAAAACAGTTGAAGGAAAAAGATTTTTAAGATCTAAAATCTCACTCTACTGGCACATTCTATCGACTACTCTTCTTCCGAAAATTTTTTTTTTTAATAATTAGTAAGTTTGAAATAAACAATAAACTTATAGCTAGAGAGTATTTTAAGTAAATAAATCATAATAGTGGAGCCCAGT